AGCGGGCGGCGGCGGCGACCAGGCGGGCAACTCAGCGTCCAGCAACACTTCGGCGGGCGTCACCAGGACGGGGGAAACTAAGCGCGTCTCCTTCTCCGGCGACGCGGGCAAAACCTCTGACGCGAATATGCGCGAGGCCGATGGCACTGCCTCGGCTGACGCTGCAGCCCAGGAAACTGGTGACGCGAACTCAGAGTCTAAAGCTCCAGACGCAGGCGACACGGCTGCGGACGTGAACCTGGAGGATGCCCCTGAGTTCAAGTTACCACGACACGCGACGCTGGAGGACGTCAGGGGGCTCGTCTTCGCGGGTATGCTTCGGCAGCAGGAGGTGGATGTCCCCGACTTCGTACTCCCTGTGCACCCACCGCATTGGACACTGCCAACCCCGCCGGATCTCAAGACCAACGCATATCTCGTGGGAGTCCCAGGGATCGTGAACGATATTCGCGCGGGTGCATTCGCCATGGAAGGCTACGGCGGCGCGTCTACGCTGATCGGCTTCGAGGAGCTCTCCGACGAGAATCTTCAGGGGTTGAAGGAAGTCTGCGGTGCCAACGCTGGGATCGACGTCCTGTGTCCACGTCGTTCGCCTCTTTCCGCATTCGAGTTGGACAACACCCTGAATTCCATCGGCATTCGACGCGAGATGGCCTCACTCCTGCGTCACTTCAACAGCACAAGGCTCGCTGAGCGCGTGTTCAAGATGACTGGTTACCTGCGTCGAGTCCTCGGGGCCTACCGAAACATGCGTTCTCTGGCTGACTCTCAGCAGGGTTTCACCGCCACTCAGGAAGTAGTCGACACGCGACGCAAGTATAAGGAACTGAAGCGCACCTGGAAATTCACGTGCGACTACTGGTTCTTGGAGGTCCAAGAGGCCCTGGGCAAGGTGGATGATGCTGAATCCAAGTACAAAGTCGCGCTGGGCGAGCAAAAGACGCGGTACCAAGACGAGATTGATTCTCTGGAGTCCGAGAAGGCACAACTCAAGGCGCGCCTTGCCGACTCTGAGGCACAAGTGCGAATCCTGAAATCGCGTCTTGAGTTAGCCACCGTGGACCCCTGGAAGTTCCCTGACTTCCTCCAGGAGCACACAGACTTCACGGGCAATTGGGAGCGTCTCCACGACCTCTTCAATCTCTGCATCAAGGACTCGAAGCCTCCTGAATCCTGGGACACTGTCATCAACGTCACAGCCATGGACAAGCGCAAGGCTGCGGCGGCCCCGTATCCAGAGAAGAGCACGCGTATGCCTCCGTCTTCAGGGTCTGGGTCGTCCGTCGTCCTGAAATTCTGGATCTCACGGGTCCTGGCAGCAAGTCTCGCAGCGGCGCGAAGGCCGGAGGCAAAACTTAGGATTCCAGAAAATCTCAGGGTTCCAAGAACGGTCAAGGCTCCAGAAAATCACGGGACTCTGAGGTGCCAAAAACGCAGTCGAACTCCGCAAGCCCCCAGGTTCACAAGGTCCAGCGTCGTCCCAAGGATCATCAGCCTGGCCGCGACTCTGTGCGTCGCGCTGGCGAGAAGACTGTGGTGTCCAAGGAGGCCGCACACACGATGCTCCCTGGGGGTGTCGTCTGGAAGGAAGTTCGGCCAGACGTGCGTCAGGCTATTCTTGCTGGGCTCAAGTACGACACAGCCATGGAGTGGATCGGCAGCGACCGGGCGGCCCACAGGCATTTCCGACAGCCGCAGCTGATCAAGATGCTCGTGAGGATGATGTACTGGCGTCGTCTCGATCGGACTCCCTGGCGCAAATACGTCCCTGAGGCTTACTACGAAACGGCGGACGAGCGTCTGGACAGGTGCGGTGATGTGCCACCACCCTGGGGGAACCTCGATGACCCACATGGTGTACCCTGATGAGGACGCCGATTCCACGGTGGACGACATCGAGAACGACCCGGACTATCAGCCTCCCGCCCAGGAACCTGAGGAGAGCGCCTCTAGTAGTAGCTCTGAAGAGGAGGAGGAGGTTCCCCTGAAACTCTGGAGGACGTCGAGGCCGCAGAGGGCGACGACGACGCAGAGGACGACGACAACGCAGAGGACGACAATGGGGTAGAAGAACCCCTGGAAGTCAAGCCTCCTGCTAAGCGCCCCCGTTCTGAGTCAAGCAAGGAACCTCAGGGTTCCAACTCGAAGTCGAAGAAGAAGCGTCGCACGGGAAACAAGAAAGACACGTCTGCCACTCAGGGTTCTAGTGGTACTCAGGGGTCCAAGGCTACATCACGCTCCAAGCATCCGTCGGCACTCGCGCGGAAATCATACTCGGAGCTCACTTCAAGTGAGTTGATGACGGCCGAAGACCCTGAGGACAACGAGACTTCCTGGCGCATCTATGGGGTTCTTGTGCAATACCCAAGCTCGACCAAGAGTGCGTCTTGCCAGACTCCTGGGTTCCCAGAGTACGAGATCCACAAGTATTCGTACGACGTTGTTCACGAGCGCTGGGATCGTGAGGCATACCAAGAAGTCCTGGATTCTGAACCCTGGGAGACTATGCTTCAGGGTCGCTTCCGAGTGTTCTATTTCCATGAGCGAGAGCTGCTCTCCGCGAAAGCGCTCAAGCTGTTGGAGGTCGTCGTGGACGCCATGCACAAGCACGCACAGGCAATCTGGGAGCGCGGGCACTGGGTGCCTATTCCGACTGAAGAACAAGCAGACGCCACCATGGACTCTCAGCGTAAGTCGCGTCGAAACGCGCTACGCAGAGCGTACAAGGCGCTCGTTGAGCGCTCGCACAACACCCCAGGGTTCATCCCGTCGTTGTGGCACGAACCGAGTCTCTGGAAGTTCCCGGACAAGTGCTGCTACTGGATTTGGGGGGATCCCAGGGCCAAGAAACTCGGGGGAGCTAAGTGCAAGGACTTGGACGTCCAGCTAGCGACGTTGGACATTCGTGAGCCCTCTCGAGTCCAATGGAACACGGCGGCTGACGACGATGAGTGGCTCCAATACGTGCCTAACAACATCAAGCGCCACATCAAGCCCCTGGCCATCCGCAAGCTCAACCCACTGTCTCTCAAGCACTCGTGAGAATCCAGGTCCTCACCAGATCCTGGGAACCATCGGGATTTCACATGTCGTAGCATAATTTCCAATAACATATCCAGGATTTCATCTCGATTTCAGAGTCTTCCCCAGAGATTCACCGTCTGTTGACATCGTTCCCCTGGGTCACCCAACTTCGTCTACTGCCTCCAGGTCCTCGTAAAGCTCGCCGCCTTGATCTTCTGTCTCACCACTTCACACAATGCCGAAGCCTCAGCAATATCACCTTCTCCATAATCAAATCAATTCAAATCACATTCACGTTCTCCATCCCCAATATTCACACATTCCGTCGATTTTCCCCAGAGTTTCACAGTGTCACCCAGGGTTTCCCCTGAGAATCACATGTAACTCTGGGTCATTGCCACCCCAGACTGCTAGACTCCTGGGTGATCATCTCCAGCCTGCATGGCCTGGAAACGGGCTCGCGCTCTTGCGCCTTGATTGAACTCGTAGAGCAGGGCGCCACAGTTGAGCTTCGACACAGGCAGCCACTCGGCCTCATCGTACCCCTTCCACTTTACAAGGTACTCGCGAATACGTCTCGCTGTCCGGGTCCGCTTAGTCCAGCGCAAATCCAGGATTCGCTCAACTTCGTACTCGTCGTTCGCAGTGTCGGGCTCCCAATTGTCTTCAGGCAGCAGCGCCGCATCAAAGTCATCATCCTCGTCCACGTCGATCTCCACAGTGGGTCGCTTCGGGAATAGTGCTCTGGGTTTCAAACAGCTCACGTGTACCCAGGGGTTCACGCGATACCCTGTGTTCTCGACCCTGAGTTTCACGCGGAAGTTGTCATGGATTTCCTGGATTCTGAAGGTACCATGCCACATGTGAGCCAGTTTGCGGCTCAGCCCGGGCTGCACCTTCGGTATATACAGCCACACAGCCACCCAGCATCACCGACTGCGAATCCTGCCTTCAGTCGTTCGGACAGCTCTCACCACTTCCTGGTTTGTTCGGCAGAGCGCGCCCGCTTGGCCTTCTTCTGGAGATTCTCAGCGCAAGCTTGTGCATAACTGTAGTCACGCTGTAGCTTCCTGGGCCACTCGTACGCGGTGCGCTCCTGGATACTTGAAGGCCTGGGTCCCAGCATTGCAGACACAGTACCGTGTGCGTCCTAGCCGTGCGCCAGAAAAAAACGGAGTGTCCAGGCGAGTGGCAT